TAGTATACTCTGTTATTATCTATATATTATCTTGTAAGGTGGTTGAGATATACACGTGTAGAGGTGCGCAAAGTTGGTGGGGTGGCTCACTCGCTTGCCTGGCTCACTCGCTTGCCAACCATGTTAGCTCCAAGGCAACAATCGATGTTCTTGAAACTTGTCTCTTCGCCTTCGCTCGACAATGAAAGGAACCTCGAATTTGACTCCAAAGCCGCGAGGCTAGAAGGTAGCACCTCCTTTTTTGGCTGTTACACGCCACCAGAAAGCAGTGTAATCCCTATATTTCTTGGCAATTAACACGTTGTCACCATTGTAACTTGAACCATGCGAACGCCCGTCGAATTAATGCCCAAGATCATGTAGATCGCGCTATAGTCGCAATGGTTCAACGCTTAGCGAGATAACTGTAACAGAGGAAATCCCGAAGCTTTCCCTATGATTGACAGGATGGCCCGTGTAGCGTCTACATTACTATATAAAAGTCCGATAAGGTTGGCGGACATCACTCCAGATTTGCACAGCGGACTCGATTATCTTGCGGGAGGACAAAGAATCTTGTGTGTCATTCATGATTACTGACAAAGAGGTTTCACCGTCCGCGATACCACTTCTGTCTACAACTACACAGCCCTCAAAGACTCTGACTGAATCTCGAACTGATCCGAACTTCAATCACTTTGCACATCTAAATCAGCGACACGCATTCAGGACTCAGACCGCTTGCAATCTTGACACAACATTCTTCGTTGACAAACACCAGATGTCAAACGAGCAAGCGAACGTTACCAAAACCAACGACTCACCTCTCAATCGCCGACTTCCATGTCCGGGCGATCTAGCTGCAATTCCAGAGGTGGCCGAACCAGTAACGGAGGGGTTCAGACTTTGGCAAACTGAGGAGAGAAATGAAGAATCTGAAACGAGCTACAAGGCCGGCTCGGCCACTTTCATTGAGATACCTGTGAACGGAAAGCCGGTCATGGCGCTTTTGCTCTCTCATCAACTTGGTCAGTGGATGTTAGAGTGTGTAAAGCTTCAACGTGACCATGGGGAACTCGAGGGCCGTTCCAAGGGCGACATTGCAAGTATCGACAAGAAGATCTATGACCTTCAACATATTTCTCGCTCTCTGAAATCGGCAATAACCATGGCCGAGCGTCTCAGTCTCATGTCTGGTCAAGACCAACGTGATCAATATCACACGAAGATGTCGAGGTTACAAGATGAATCACAAGAGATAGAAGGACGCATACTGCAACTCCAGAAACAAAAAGCAGTCATAAGGTCTAAAGAGCAAGAATTGAAAGAGCAGTGGATTAACTACATGGAGGCTATCTCTATTAGCCATGACAATGCTTTCATCAAGGCTGGCATATTACCCGATTATAAGGAGGTGGGACGCAAAGGTTCTTTGGCCAGTGAGGACAAATCGTATGTAGAAACCGCCGCATCTGAAGACACGGAGGTTAAATCACATCACACGTCAGCGAAAGAACCATCGGAATCAAGCGCTCGGGAAAATTGGGCCATGGTCCTGTTCAAGGGCAACTCTACAAATAAAGACAACTCGAGCAGCAACGAAGTTGTTCCCTTTCACGAAACTCAGGGAAATGAGCACGCCCAGCTTTTAGAAGAAGCTAAACTTAAGGACAAACTACTCTTGGCAAGAGTAGCATTACAAAAGGCCGAGAAAGCTCACACAAATCATCGACGCTGCTATAAGGATGAATTCAGCAAATTCGCTAGAAGGCATGCCACTCTACCAGCGGCAGAGCTGGCCTCTATGTTTGGTCCACTCTGGGTACAACAAGGTCAAAAGCTAACATGCGAATTACGCGACGCTGAAAAAGCGTTCGAGGAGGCAGAAAAGCATGTACTAAATGCGAGTCTTTTCACGACTTCTGAATCTCTTGTCGACCCAGCCGCGAATCTGTATCTATCTGACGGTGATCTCGAGGCGCTTAATGCCAACCATGACAATAACCATATTATCAAGTGGCTCTCCATAAAAGATGGTATGGTCACTCCACCATCTTGCCACACTATAACGACATTTGACGATGAAAGCCCTATCAACGACGGGGTCGATGCAAAGTGTGCGATCAGCCGAAAAGACAGGATCGAAAGCGCAATAGATCAGCGATTGTTAGCGTCTTCGCATGAGACAAAGTTTGACATGAGCGCCAATACTTTGCACTCTGAATCGCAAGGCGAGGAAATAGCGAATGATATACTCGGACGTAATTCCGTCGCAAAAGATGCCCCCGGGGAAAAAGCCGACTGCAACAAGCGTAAAGTGAACGACCAATGCAACACATCTTCCAATGGAGAGTCCGACACAAACAATATGGCTTCCTCATGGTCCGGAAAACGCAAATTCTGGGATAAGGTACAGATATACGATAGTCGGAGTGCTGTTGCGGAAGGCAGTAAGCGCCAAAAGATAGATGCTTGGGCGCGCGAATGCGCGCGACTGAAAGACCTAAGAGAATGCCACTGAAGTGAAAGGTATGGTGCGCGTAATAAATCTAGAGATTTGATTGCACACTTTCTTCAAAATTGCATGATCTGTTGGCGACAACTCTAGATTGATCGTTGAGCCAAATTGGTATCACTTACGTCATGTGCGTCTCGTTTGTCGTACCTACGGCGGATCCACTGGTTCAGATCATGCACTGCCTTCCTCGGTTAGTAAAGGCTCGTGCGACAGCTAGCAAACTTGGTTCAACCTCAATCTCTACTATAAACACTCGGGTATCAGAGTCCGGCCTGACCACTCTTACTCCCCACAACTGAAACCACGATCGATACCACCCAACCCCCGATATGTCTGTACAAGGTGATTTGAGTCCCCGTACTGAATCGAAAATCCGCGGGATGGATGAGCAGTGAGCAATTTCTCCGTCCAATATACGAGCTCGATGCTGATTTTCAAAAGAATACTTCAGATTGAAGGTGTGGCACAGGTGGCCGATTGGGCTATACAGGAGTTATTGGATGCGCGTTCGTACTTGCACCAGTAAGATACAAGAAGACTCACTAGACATGTGACTTACACTGACTTTGGAAGACAGTCTGCAGAACGGAAAGCCGAGCGATACCGAGAAGCTCGACAGAAGCTGCTGAATGCAATGCTGGAAAAACTACCCCGCGAGCTCCGAGACATGATCTACCTGGAGCTGTACCAAGATAGTCAGGACGAACCATTCGAGATCGTGGACAATAGTACCATACATCCACACGATAACTCGCATGAATTCGAGCCTATCGTCAAAGCCTATGAGACTCCGTACTGGATGATAGAGGACGAGGTTGGATATGAGTTTGCAAGAGAAGCGGTAGAGACCTGGTACAAGCACGTATCTCTTTCGGTCGACGTAAAACTTCTGCCACAGCTCTTGCAAGACGAAGATGGAGTGTTGTATAACAATGGAGCACCGTCCGTTCCCACACATAAGTTCCTCAGGAAGCTGCAAGTCGTCATTGGGCCCGCGTCAACATCGGACTCCTATTCCGGCAGACCAGGAGGTCGAGCAGTCCACATCCAACAAACATGTCAATCGCTCTCTGCTTTGTCGACGGAGGCGAGCGTCGCGCGAAAGAAGGATTTTGAGCTGCACATCGCCTTCCGATGGGTTTCGGTCTATGAACGTCTAAGCTACATCGATGCGGTATGCCCAGTGGTCTATGGCTTGAAGGCTCAGGGCTTCATGGTGACGAGTAGCCAATCTATCGGAAGACGGATGGTTCGGATATGTGATGAAGAGATCTGTATGTGCAACGGCCGGAGGATTGGAGAGATGGTATGGGCACGTACCATGGAAGAGGATTGGTTCAACCGCTCTCAAGAGGAGTGCATGAAGAGGATCCGGGACGCGAAAGTGGAGCCCGACGATAGCTGGTGATACCTCCGCTGATAAAAGGAGAGCTGTAACAAGTATTGCTGTCGCAGACCAGGTCGATGCATAGATAGCCCATTCTCAGGTCTCGATGTCAGTACGTAAACGAGAAGGTCTTTAGCGCAACCTTGAACACCAGCAATGACATATTTGTTCTGACCATCCTTACATCATGATAGCTAACTCATTTGACAAGCTCGACACGCTTGCAGAGTGGCTTTGCCGCAGCCAGCTCATCTTACTGGCTTCATCACAGGTAGATACTGCACGGCCAGAGACAACAGGCAGAAAGCATGTAGTTGAGGCGCGTCTATCTTTGGTGAAGCGGCCGAGGGCACGGTAAGCCAATGCCGTTGACGCGTCCAGGAGAGGAGGATGGCTGAGGCCGTTCGAGATCAACATCACGGCCCTCTTATACTGGCCAATCGCGCTGCCTATCATCCCACCAGGGGTGCCCGCCCCCCGCAATTGCCGCCCTCATCTTCGCCACCAAAACATCAACACAGAGTTGATAAGCTTGTCGCATCCTGCTAGTCCCTGCATAATATTCACCTGCAATTATATCTTTTGTTTTGCGAGTTGCTGCGATCAACCATGCCCAGGTTCTTCAAGCGCATCTTCAGTGATGCTTTGTTCCGGAGAGAGCCGGATGTCAGCGACATGCAGCGATCGCGGCGCGTGCTGGTAAGGAGCTCAGGAGGCATGCCGGAAGAGTCTTCGAACTGGAGGTCGTCGCTTTTCGATGTTCAATGTCAGGATGAAGAGCGTCGTGGGTTAAAGGATGGGGCAAGTGTAGCCGGTAGCGACATGCATGCCGCCGAACGACCTATTCTAGCACCGAGCCACGAGCAAATACCAGTGCGTAAGCCAAGTCGTGTTCGGAGAAGACTGAGCAAGAGGCATCGGAGGCCTGCTTGAATCAAATTTGAAGGTATGTTTGTCCTGTGCGACTTAAAGCGCACGAAGCTGACGTCTTCTCTTTGCCAGGTCATCGCGGCGTTCATCATCACGCGCTGGCATTATCACGGAAAGAGAGACTCGCGATCTCATATCAGATACCCATCTGCAACGCGATGGATCGCGCTGAGGTTGAAGCGGCTGCATTGTTATCATCACTCTTGCAGCCTGGCTGGTCAGCTACGCGAGACAGTGGAAGCTGATGGGGAGATCTTTACATCACACTGGGTGAAATCTCAAGGTCCAAAAATCTCCTACATATAATATCAGCTGTCTGCTCGCAACGACAGCCCTCTTGGGATGGAATGAGAAGACGAAGGATCAACAAAATCGGGGCTTGTCACGTGTTCGCCCCTCACCGGACCTTGGCCTGTCAGCCACCACAGTTTTAGGAACACGATTTGAATCATATTTATCGCACACTGTCCGGATTCTGCAGTCTCATGGTTCCGTCTCTTCATACGACTTCTCCCTATTCACTGTCTTGATGGCAATATATCCTGGATGTACACGACTAGTCGTTGGCATATCCCACTTTTTATCACTCAAGGTATAGTTAGGCTGATATAACAGGAAAGATTACCGAAAAATATCTCGTATTTATACTGATGAAGACAGGCTATCTTGACTGGTTCTACTCATTGCTGTCTGGACTGATCCATCCCCATCCATCCGACCCCGTCCATCTACGGGTTGATCAAACGTGGACGTAGTTCTTACACAGAACCCGACGCTGTACATACTCCGTCTCGATTGCATCTGACCATGCTCAGCATACGATTCATTGTATCTCTTGCCTGCCTGCTATCTATCATTATCCATGCCGACGCAGCGGGACAGAAGTGCAAGTGTGTGAGTCGAAATGACCACAGATACGGACCACTGCTAATGCGGATGATAGACACCGGATGACATCTGCTGGCCGTCTACTGATGAATGGAGCAACTTGAACAAAACACTCCATGGCGCACTGATTCGTGGTATTCCTCCAGGTGCAGTTTGTTACCCTTCACGACCTGAATTCGATCAGCAAGCATGCGCTTCTGTTGCCTCAGAATGGTACAATTCCTCATATCACGCTACGAATCCGGTCAGTATTGATTATCCGATATGGGCAAACAACTCGTGCAATCCCATATTTCCTAACGGCACTGGCATCACTGGCAGTCCATACGATAGGGCAAATGGCTGTAGTATTGGCAATTACCCAGCTTATGTAGTAAATGCGACCTCCGCAGATCAAGTCAGCAAAGCTTTGGTATGGGCAGGTGCAAGGAACATCCGGCTCGTTGTCAAAGCGACGGGCCACTCATACCAAGGTCGCAGTACTGGACACGGCAGTTTGAGTATCTGGACACACCATATGCGCGGTATCGACTACATCCCTTCCTTTCAACCCACATCATGTTCCTACAAAACGCCATTGACTGCAGTCCGCGTAGCAGCCGGTCACACGAATATTGATGTTCAGGAAGCAGTCGCGATGCATGGAATGGCCATCGTGACGGGCGCTAATCCAAGCGTTGGGCTCATCGGATGGCTCACAGGCGGTGGTCATGGTCCACTCTCTACTCGTTATGGCATGGGTGCTGATAACTTGCTTGAAGCTACCGTTGTTACACCGGACGGTAAAGTGGTTCTTACAAACCCATGTCGCAATGAAGATTTGTTCTTTGCTATACGAGGCGGAGGCGGAAGTACATTCGGGGTTATCACTGAGGTTGTCGTCCGCACATTTCCTTCTCCAAGCACCATCGCGCATACGTTCCAAGTTCGTTCAAAAAGCTCGAGCACGAACGCCGAGTTCTACGATTTCCTAGGCTTCTTGCACTCAAAAATGCAGATGCTGAAGGAAAACGGCATGCAAGGTTACTACTTAGTAGTTGGGCCGCCTATAGTCCCTACTCTATCGTTCTCATGGACATTCCTGCTTTATGACACACCGAGTGGAACGATCAAGCGACTCATGGATCCTGTGGAAGCGTACTTGTACGATAGGAACTATGCTTTCGAATGGCAATCTGTCATGACGCAAACGAAAACGTACCTGGAGATGCATAAAGCCAACTTCACGAACGAACAAGTCGCAAATGGCGGTTCAGCTTATGGATCGAGGTTACTCAGTGCCGAGAGTCTAGCGAATTCGAACAAGACTGCGGCAGTTCTCTCAGAGATTGGTCCCAGAAATGAAGCGTTGAAACCAAGTGTAAGCTATCTTAGCTTGGTGCCACGTTATCAATGTTGAGCTGACACCCGCACCTATAGGGCCCGGTAGCAAATACTCTCCTAATCGGTCACATGATCGCCTCGCCTAACGAGCCACTTTATTACCCCACCCACAGCTCCCTTAATGCCGCATGGCGCGAGACTCTTACGCACCTCATCGTCGTATCTCCTTTCGGTGACATTGCGTCTCAAAAGCTCGTCGATGCTGTATACACTGATACCACGTACAACAAGACCGAAGCCCTCCGCAGACTCAGCCCAAACACTGGAGCGTACTTCAACGAAGGAGACATCTATGAGCCGGAATGGCAGTATGCGTTTTGGGGTGGCAATTATGAAAGACTTAGGAAGATTAAGAGAAAACTTGATCCACGCAACTTATTCTGGTGTCGCAGATGTGTGGGAAGTGAGGCATTGGCAGAGAGTAAGGATGGGCGGTTATGCCAGGCGAGCGCCAGGGACGGCCATGATGAGCTTTAGGTGTTAAACACAGCACATTCGTCGCAACGGAGAAAATGTTGGTTCGTGTGGTCGCGCAGAGCTTGCGGGTTGGAAACTACTTTGATATGTAGAGCAGGGTTGATCGTGGATCTTCACGCCGCGAGCCAGAGTTTGATCTGGTTGTTATCCAATATGGTCCAGACATCTTGAGGGAGCTTGGGCGAGGCCAGCTGTGGTAGCGTATCGTGTCGCGGAGGACTTCCTACAAAACCATGCACCAGAGCCAGACAGGGGTCATGAAAATGGAGCAATTTACTGTGGACATATGTTTGATGTAAGTCGCGTTATTATACAACGTGTAGATGGTAGATACTGTTGGCATACATCTAAAGGGTAAAACAGATGCATGCGGATATAGTTGCAATGTTGATGCTGTATTGAGTTAGACGTAAACACCAGAGGAATGGTGATTGAGATCCGCTGAAGCAAGCGAGATACATAAAAAAAGACAGGATGTACGCAGGTATGGGTACAAGCTAAGGAGAAGTCCTCGAACAACACAGGCACGACTCACAGCAGTATGCACGAAACTCCGCTTTGGGTGTTGAGCGCAGTGGAGATGACTTTATTCCCGGGCCGATATACAGCCCCATAGTTAGTCATCCATGATACCAATGCAACATCAAACGCCCCTGTCTAATACGCGAATGCGATCCACCTCACGACCACTCGAGCCTCCATGCGCTGGTTTCTGTTACTAACACAGTAGGATACCGTTACCGTCAATTGGTTTTACGATGAACCTACTTGAAGAATTCACAGCTCCAATCGACTCTTACCGACCGAAACGAAGAGAACGCGTCCAACCACCTCCGAACACGCGCTCCCGTACCCGTTTGTCGACCGCGAGATCAGCTTCATACTGTCTGATCAATAGAGTGGAGGTTGCATAACATGATGTGTATAAGGCTGGGCCGGCAAGCTTGAAGTCATGGACGCGATAGAATTGAGAATCGCAGATCCAACGCGTCCTTTGGACAACTTGCGCGACTGCTTCGTTCCCACGATTGGGAATTGAGAATTGATGTGGACACAGTTTTGGTATCTACTCGAGACGATGTAGGGGACCCAGCTTTATTATGAGAAGTCCGCATGCTTCAAAAGGCATGCCGGCGGTCGATCGGAGAATACCGCTTTGGCACGGAGAAGGACGATGCCAAGACACATCATGCCTAATCTTCGACTTCTTCTGAATAGATGATCCGTGGTTGTTCTCACCGCTCGTTGCGCAATCATTCCCTGCCTGGAAGGACCCAGGTACAAGGATAACAAGTAGGTATTACTATCGGGCCCTTGTTGATGTAACAATGCTCCCATCATGTTTTTGTGATAGACATCACGAACCAAGGTATAGCTACAGGGCTAAGCGCGCTGCTAATGGGTACCATACTCAAGCTTTCTAGGGCTGTGTCTCGTCGGCCATGGCTGTATCAGCCATCTTTGTATACTGATCTGAAATCACTGGGCCCTCGTCGTTGGACAGAATTATCGCGGAGGCCTCAGCCACAGTCCGTCATCGTACATGAACACGCTTCTAGATTGACTCCACTCGGCTCTCCAGCCTCCTTTGGGACTGTCGCCTCTGAACCTTCTACCCTGCCAACGGCTATCCACGTGAAGGGCCACCAAGTCTTTCGAGTTCACCAGTAGATGAAGACAGGGTGAATTTGTGGAAGCCACCGTTCCCTTGAGTATACATTGGCTGAGACCCACGAACACTCATCCATACATCGCTACATAGATATTATCCGACTTTTTCCGCCTCGCGTCCAACTACTAACTGTAGGTCAAGAAAGCCCCGCGAGCGCCACCTCTATTCGCACTCGGGTTTCTGGATCTGATAATGTAGCGTCGTCGCCCAATCTCATGCCCGTGGCCGGTAATCGGGCTAGGTTATTTTCCTTCGCTCGCTTAGATGTTGAGCATGAGGCTAATGACGCACGCTGCTGCACACGCAATTGACAAGTGCGGACTCTCTTCCGAACTAATGGCTCAACTATTTGCAGCATGATGGTGCTTGCTCGCTTTCTTCTCCGTTGTTATTTTAGTCCACGTCAATGGTTATGGGCGCGTAGAGAACCACCGTTTCGTCAAGCGCTGGGTCGCAACAACGGCCGCGATACGGTTGTCGCACAAACTGTGCTTCCACTTTTGTTCAATTGGCTGTGCTGATACTTCTTTGTTGTTCTCGTCTGGTCGTTCCCCACACTTACACTGGTGGGTTTGGGCTTACCGTGCATGTCACATCGGTCCTTTTGCTACTGTTTCGTCACCGCTCATTCGGTTGTTAAGGACGACGCGACCAGCGGACCTTACACCTCGATCGTGTCGGCATATCCTTGTCACTGTAGTCGTTTCTACCAATTGGATCATTGCGGCGATTTATGCCTTTGTTATAGTATAGCTCTTCGACCATGAATTTGCTGGAGCATTCTGGCGCCGGTGGCCAGTTATCTGATACAAATAGGCCACTAAGGAGGGATAAGGTGCGATGTCGTAGGCTACTTTCGCCCCACATGCTTAGCTTGTATGTCTCCAATTGCTGTTGGAGTGTGCCAAGTTTAGTACGTACGATGTTCAGCCGTTTTTGGAGGTTCATACCAGCAGTAACTGCCGCAATCCGAAACTGAGCAGTACCTGTAAGCTTGTCTGAGCGTACCCCTCTTTCTGCGTCATGAGGCGGTAATGAGTTTACTGATGGCTTTGTATATATGCGACACTCTCGGCGCTTTGCCCACGGAAGCCATTTGCACGGCACAATAGACTTTGGCAGCCCCAATCAATGTGTGTTGGTGTTCTTCCGGATCAGCACTTTGTTGTTCGGCCATATCAGTGACCCAACACGGTTACGATGGCCAAATTCATGCGAAAAACATTCCCTCCGCATCCTTCGCATGAACAACACATCTCCGCTAATTGACTGTTTCTTTGTTTCTGATCAGTGCCTGCACGCCATCATCGGTCTGACAGGCTGCTCGTATAGTAGTCAGCCAAAGAATCTCGCGGCATCAGCCAGACCATGAGCTTATCCCCTGATCCCTCCTCGTTTGTGCATATGCGGCTAGGGGTTGGTTGCATGCAACAGTTTTCCGTGCTTGAGCGAAGTCTTCCAGCGTCACGCACATGCTTCCTCCTTGGTCAAGCGAAGGCGATGCAGGACTTTCAGCCTGAGGTCCCGCCACTTCGATCCTTCCACATCTCGAACGTAGTGGACATCTTTTACGTATCCAAATGCTTCACCTAGTCAACGTACCGCATTCATCACGTTACACTCGAACTCATCTCGATTAGACCTTGCCTTGACCAAGGCGTGTAACTCGTGGAGTGATGTCTGCCTATTCCCAGGCGGTCTTTCGTCATCCAGTCTGCACACTTCTCGGCATACATGAACGTTCTCATCCGCCTTGACCAACCATACACCGAGTGCTCTTGCGCGGGGACATGTAACCTGTCTGGCCAGACCGATTTGACCCACCAAGAAGCGGCACCCGCCAATCCGCAAACACGCAGCTTAGCCTTGTTATGCACGAAGGGCGCCGGTGACCGCAGCTCCGGCCCACAAGAGCACAGCACTCACTCGTCTCGGGATCAAAATTGCGTGCGACCTTATTATCTAGTTCCATTGCAGCCCATGTACTCGCGGCGTACCCAGCATCGCGTTGCTCTCACATGACGAGAAGTCTGCGCGGAGTGCCGCATAGCAAAATCCAACGTCAAGTCTTGGTGAGAAAGGTGTTCTGGCGCTCGCTGAGCGCAGTGCTGGGCATATTTCCGTGCCAATGCAACGAAAATTCAAATCACAACGTCAGGAAAGCCCAAAAGAGGTGGAATCAGCAACGGATCGATTGATTGCGCAACTATTTGCAAGGTTACTTACGGTCGCAGCAGTGGCCGCAGTTGCCATGTTTATTGTGATGGCTGGTGTGTGGTTCCGTGCACGACGCAAGTCCGTCGTTGGGCCGGATGACACCACAAGGACACCTCACCTTCTGCATCACTTGGAGTAGGCTCACTTTGCCGCACTTATGCCATGGATGCCCAGTACGCAATTGAAGAGAATGATAGTAGACGTACAGCTCAATCTAACTGAGGTGAAGCAATTGGCTCGGTAATGTGGGATTGTTGCCTCATTTGATGACAAGGCAGACTGGTTGAGTCGATTGACGAAAGCAGGCTGCATCATATTGCCACCGCATTGACTAAACCATATACTCCATGTCTTGTTATACATCATTTCGGGCTCACCGGTAAAGACGGTACGATTTGGGACAATCTTTTCATAGGCCAAGAGCAAGCATTCCTCGCTGAGTATGCGTGGAAAGGTAGGCGAGCCAACGCGGACATTTTCGTAAAAGCTATGACAGATGGCGAGATGAACGCCAGGGATATGGCTTCTCCTTTGATCAACCATATACCGCTCGCCACGTCAGAGGATCTCCGATGGGGCATGCTTTGGCTGGTTCTAGTGTGTGTCCGGGGGTCCAGATGATTACCTCGATATGCGATGGCGGCCTAGGTTCCGCATTAACTCCACGCCATCCTGTTATCTAAGAGAGCAATGCCTGTCAGCGTGCAGGGCCTAGTCAGTTAACAACGGACCGGCCACGGGCAAAGCCAGCCGTTGAGTGGGGATACAGATCAGCTGAACGAAGGAGCCAGTCCGTGCAATGCAACATGCATGCGGATGTTGCTAGCGTTCCATCCCAGTGGCAATGCTGGATGACCGGATGCAATAGCTAAGACGCATCTCTGCAGCCTGTGGAGATAAGGTGACTGGCCAACAGTGTTTCGAGTCCATGGTGGAAAGGCCGGCACGTTGTGTGTCAGCCAAGCAGAACTGAGGAGTATCTCTAGTGGACGCGAGAAGCAGCCGAGCACCATCGGTGAAGCTCGATGGTGCTACACAGGTTTGTTAGCCTGGCCACAAAGGGAAAATTCGGGGTCGAGCATGTAGCGTAGGAAATGAGAAATGCCCGAATTACCGTGAACACATGGCGTACTAGTGCGCAGGGAGACAACGATGCCCAACCGAGGGCGATGACACTGCTTACTCTTCAGATGTTGGTCAATGCGTGTTGTAACGGTTGACCATAGCTCGGAATAGAGGACGTAGAACCCAGAATTCCTCAAGGTTGGCCCGTGTATCGCTTCGTCTGATTCCACGGAGGTACCAATAGCGGGAGCCATTGGCCAATCGCTTGTTGGGCCCAAAAAATATTCTTGAAGCGGACTGTGACTCGGCATACACCAACCGGCACGTGATCGTATTCTCGTTCACGAATGCTCCATCCCCTATGGCATGAGAGGTCCGGATTGCTCGAGAACAACACACCATGACCTCTCCGAGCGCCAACTAAGACCGTTTGACAAGGAACATGAGGGATTTTCGCGCCGGGAACAAAGGGTTACGTGGTTCATGAAGCCACGACACGTTGATCCCCTAGCAAATGTGATAACTGTCTGCAGCTGGAAACGCCGGCACGGCCTAGGGTATCATTTCAGCCCGTCTCCGCATCACTCTAGCGTCAGAGTAAGAGGGATCCGTGAATCGTAGCGATATTGTTGGATGGAGCCCGGTGGGGTGCTACCACGTCGACGAAAGGATAGGCCATGGTATCAATTTATGGCCTGACAGCGAAGCGAGCTCGGTACGGATGTGTGGCCGGCGAGGTCGGCGAGAGGAGTTCGTTTCGAAGGATAAATAGCGGTATACTGCTGCTCGAATATCAGCTTCATCACATTCAGTTCGACAGCATCTTCCAGTCATTGACCATAGACTTTGATAGTCTTCCATCTTTTGCAACACCGGACCCAGCAAACAACCTCCCTCTTGGGTATAGACCGTGGCCATCTTTGTCGAAGGCCTCCTACTATCCAACCATTCTGTATGTGTCTTTGAGGCTCAAGGTCGAAGTAACCCCTGAGCTGACCCACCCCCAGGAACGCGGTCGCTGGTCCTATCAAAAAGGTCCAGTGTTTGAACGAGAAGCGACAGGTAAGTGTTCGACGTCTGGTATCCAAGCAGTAGGTCGGTAAGGCTAATGTGTTACCGAACATCAGACGTCCAAGCTCTTCCATCCTGAAACATGTGCTTCTACGACCAACACAGGTTCATCTGCGGTGACTGGAAGTGGGGCCACTTCCGACAGCACTGCGCCAAGGAGTACCGAATCGGCGAGACGTGTGGTATGAAGCTCATCATGCAAACAGTTCCTACTGGAACTTACTGCAAGCTCTGCGAGAAGATCAATACCAAGATGCGCCGCCGAGCCGCTGAGGTGGACCGCATTGGGCGGTGGCAGCGGGAGCCTCACAAGTTCGGAGCTTCGATCGAGAAATCGATGGAGATGATTCGCAGTCTGGATGGCGAAATCAATGAGCTGTCCTGCGAACGTAACCGCAGACTGCAGGCAATTCACTGAGGTTACAGTGGGCATGGCGCGGGCGTTTGGGAATCTGTTTCATCTACAACGCTTCGGTGTTTTCTTTCAGATTGAGGCCATTCATTTTTCGTCTCCGGAGGCGGAATGATGCAGGCAGAGCTGGCATTGAGCGATGGCATACGGAACAGGGAAGGCCGGGCGTTACCTCTTACAGTCGCTTCTTTCTATTCCTGAGCTTCTGGTTGTTTAATGATGCAATGAACATTACCAATTCACTTGATTGGCTGCGTGCTCAATTGTGAGGAGTGTAGCCGCTGTGCTTGGATTGGGGGCTGAAGCTGTCCAATCCGTGACCGTCGCGTAACCGCAGATAGAAGTGGAGAGTCCATCGCGCACGGTCCGGCGAAAACAAGTACGGTGCCTATCCCTTTGTCTAGGAAAGGTGACCAGGTGTTGGAGTGAGGCGTCGGTGGCATGCAGCAATGTGGATGATCATGAGGTCAAACGCGCGGAAGGAGCAGATTCGATGGTGTTGTGGTGTTGGAGGACGGCTGGTGGGGTAAATTTCGCAACTTGGCAGACACGTGATGACGCTAGTGCTGATGTGGATAGTGTCGACGGGTGTTGCCGATAAAGCCCCGGCCTTAGCTTTGCCCTATCCCCATGGTGTCAGTCAGCTGGCCTGCACCCACATCATCATCTTGTGTGCTCTTTCATCCTCTTCTTCGCTATAGCCTGCACTGCCGTAACAAATGTCATGATGTACGAATTCCCTGAACAAGGGCAAGTCCGTACAGCATCCCAGTACCGACTGACAGCACTTTCCTCCACAGTGCACTCGAGCTCGAGTTGGTATGGCGCAGACGCACCTAGGTATGTACGCCTTGGATCATCGAAGGGAAGGTGCGTGAAAAGGTGAGTTGCTCAGGCGAACGGACGGAGGGGCTGGCAGAAACTCTTTTCAACATATCTGCGTCGGTCTGATGGTTGCCGGTTTTCGTAATCGGTCTGTCGTGTTCCTTGTGTCGCATCATACTTTTCGTGTACGCTGCACTCTGTTGTTCCTTGCCTTTCCGATCGAGAAAGGAGATCTCGAGGTCAGCTAAGCTATACAGTGGTCGTAGAAGGTTGTATGAGTGTCAAGAGCCAGGAAGGAAGTTCAAAAATGTCGACTTACGTGGCGAACGCTAAGTGGCCTGAATAGCGGCCGATCGCCTTTCATACATACTGAAAGTCCAACTCCACCACGGTCCCTCCACGCGAACTTCCGTCCGGATCGACGTCATCCTTTGGTGACTCATTACGTGTTGTGGTCGTGTGCGAAGAAAAGCAGGGGCCGTCCAGATCAGAGGAGTGAAAGGGAACGCGGGCTACCTGAGCCTTTGAGTATGTTGTGAGCGCAGCCCTACCACGGCGACTAAGTTTAAGCGCTCGTGACATACCGCAAGTCGTCACTCGTGTACTCCCATTCCTCCTCGTGTGGAGAGACGCGGTTAGGTGAATGCCAGAGGGCATACAATCGACTAGGCGGCCAATAAGCCAGCTCGACGTGTCGTCAGCAGGGTCAATCAGACATGGTTCGTACATGACATACGACGAAAGGCACATCTAAAAGCCGCACTTTGGATGTATTGGGCTGCAGTCAGTATTTGTGTGCATAGCCGGAACACATGTAAAGCACTGGGTAGACCAATCATATCGCGAAACAGCACATTTGGGTATGCTGGGCAGCCCAGTACCTTTCTCATCTCGCTACAGCTCAGTAGTGGGCGACTACGTAAGTCGCATGTACCAGCGATACGTACCCCCTGACACTCATCCATCGTGCTCTTTTCGTCGTTACTACAAGCCTTGCGCATGGCGACTTTACCCTTTTCGGCCGATCTTGCTTCCCATAGCGCTCTCGCATATTATCTGCATATCGGAACGGACGCTATACGTGTTCCGCGCCAATCAATAGAGCGCTGAAGCACGCAACCGGGAACTGTCTCTTACTGCTTTCTTCGTTTCCTGGTCTTGTCGCAACGACGACTGGATTTCTCAAAAATCTTCAGTAGTAACTGAGACTGACATACGAGAATGTGTGGGACCAGGGGAGAGGACCAGACTAATTTCGACGGCGACAAAGGATAGATTTACTTTGCCTCAAGGCCTGTCAAAGCCTATGCAGACCTTGTAGAACAGGCGATTGTGGTACAGTCTTCGCCAAGGGCTTGACCAATCACAGTCCAGAAACGGCATTCTGCCTCGATCGCATGCCGCCGACTTCGCCCAACGAAAACCTCGGACAGCTCCGAAGCATTAAAGCGCTAACCTGCAACTATCGTCGTTGAAACTGTTCTAGTATTTTGCATACGATGCATCAACTTGGAAATTGCATCTTTGCCATAACAACTGGGCTAGTCTAGGGCAAAGCCGAAGAGTGTATGCCCAATAGCGCGCGCTCCAACCCCCACCGGCGGCTCGTCTCGCAGCGAACGTCTAGGATACCCCTTGCTAATCGGTACAGGTCTTCGACTACCCCACGTAGGCATCACCAGGAAACGAATATGATGTTAGCAGGAGGACGGCACTAGAGGTACTTTGTGTGGCGGCTACCATTACCTCCTGTGCATGCAGGCTAACCTTGATACATAAAGATTCAATGCTGAGCATACGTATTGTTTATTAGTCAAGAGTACACCACTCACGTTACCGCCTTACATCGTCATGCCGCTCAAATGGTGGGTTCTCTACCTACGCCTTCTCACTGCTAACATCCCTAAGCCTGACATTCAACCCACCTTTAGGTCTTGCCGTGATGCCTCCCTGAATGTCCGCCACGTGCCCTGGCTCCTCAAACTCAATCTCGAACTTGCCAACCAAATTCGCGACCAAGCAAGCAAATTCTGCCTTCGCAAAGTCTCTTCCAATGCAACTCCTCGGTCCGTGCAAGAAAGTTGTGATGGCGTAGTTTGACTCCGCACCACCAGTGTTGGCAGTCCCAGGCTGCATCCAGCGGTCCGGGTTGAAGGAGCGGGCATCTGGACCCCACATATGGGTGGAGGTATTGATGGCCCAGGGGCAGATTACGACAGTGGTGCCCGCAGGAATGAAGTGGTTTTGAATTGTTGTGTCCTGGGCGGTTTCACGGAGGGTGAGCGGTACAGGAGGGAAGATACGCATCGTCTCCTGCAACACGGCATTCAGATACGGTAGTCGGTCAATCTCAGTCGAAGAAATTTGGCCGCCAGGTTCCAGCGCTTCCGGCAACTCGGTGCGGATCTCCTGCCGCAAGCGTGTCTGCACCTCGGGGTGCTGACACAAGCAATACACGGCCCATGACATGGCTGAGGCCGTTGTTTCATGGCCGGCTGCGAGGAAGGTCATGAGTTGGTTTACTAGATCTTCATCGGAGAAACCACCAGACTCCATTGCTACGCTGAGAATATCAGTGCCCTTTGCTTCGCCGGCTTCCATCTTTTCGCGCTTATCGCGGATAAGTTCGCGGGCTACCTTCTTGACGGTTTCAACTGCGTTACCGATGACGTCGTTGCGCTCCAAGGGAAGATTAACGGCGAGCCAGTGAGGAAGTAGATTGAGTAAGACTTGGATGAGCCGGGCGCCACGAGCGCCAGCGAAGATCTTGCGATAGGTTTCGTTGAGTTCGTTGTTAGGGTTACTGATGGCGTCAAAGTCTTTGCCCATTCCTGCGACGCCAATGATGTCGAGAGTTGCGCGAGAAGCCCAATGGCCAATCTCAACGACAGACGACCCGTCGGGACTACTCTTGATCGTCTCAGAGATCTTGTCTGTAAGCTCTTGTGATTTACTCCAGAAGATGGAGTACAAATCCTTGACGTGCCTGAAGTTAAAGGCAGGCATTAGCAGCTTCCGTTGGCGCTACAATCGCATACAGGTCAGCATCCATCCCATTGGACTGCATCTCATGTACACATACCTTATGCTCATCCCCCTCAGCTAGCAGAATTCCAACTCCAAGCAACCTACCCAGACCCTTTCTCAATCTCGATGGCTTGACAAACTCATAATTCCTGTGCACGAGAACTTCACCAATCGCCTTGGGATTCGTCACAAGGATACGCGGCTCATTGAACAGCCAGCGATAATGTAACACGCCATCGTTTGGCACAGTATCGATCCAGTCCCTTTGCGGTTCACCAGTTGGATCTTTGAAGATGCGTCGGTAATGTCCAAGCAGAAAATGCCCGTCCTAGCAATATTAGCCCCAGGGAACGGATTGTTGCAGACCTCTCACATACCGGCGGTGAAGGCAACCCCCTTAACGGACTCAAGAATAGCGGATAGACAATCACACTCAAAAACAACCGGGAAAACAAGGCTATCGCGAAAATCGCAGTTGTGTTTTTGATTGGGCCGTTGGAGATGGTCACAGCAGGAGCATACCGCTGACTAAACCAGGTGAACGCTGCTGACGCGAGAAGTAAGAAGCGTTTCGGTACCGCCATGATGGACTGGTAAGGGCGAGGATGGGGTGCCGAGAGATTGACAGCTTGATGATCGAGGCGAGGGATGGCGCATCAGCCTAAGAGGATGCAGTGCTATGTATGACGTATGACAGCTGTCTGCACCACAACAGTAACAGCAGCGATGTTCACAAGAAGACGTTGTTACTGCCAAGCGGGACCGCGCGCAGACTTATATGTCAGAGTAGGTCGTCAGTCTTATCCTCCAACATAACACGTCTTCTAACGTCCTGTTGCGCGTTCAGCCCGCGGGCACACGAATCGTTTCAATTGCGCTTGTTTTGGTTGGCGCACGCGGTCTGTGCGGCACTATCGGCATGAAATCTTCCCGAGTACGCCTCTCTATTCTTGGTCAAAAACGCGAGGGCGGAACTGTTGTCCCGGTCTGCATTGCTTAAGTAGCCTCTAGGCAGCCAGGATGACACCTGATGTTGAAGGAAGCAGAAGCACGCGGACGAGTTTCACGGAAGATGTGGAAGAGCGACTATAATGTTTATCGCGATTGATTTAATTCGTCGCAACGAAGGTCCGTGGCCGTGAGCCTGATTACGATCCTCCAGAAACAGCAATCGACGCTCATTTGCGCTTCGTGGTCGTATCCTCACTATCACTATTCCGTTCCACGGCCGTGGCTGTGGCCTGATCCTCGCCCTTTGATGTCTTATTCTCGACCGCCTCTACATTCGCGTCTACGTCCCCATCCTTCGTAACGTCCTCCTTGGACGGCGTTTTAGACAGATGTCCCGCGGTCTGCTTGGACCAAAGCTCTGCATATTTCCCGCCCTCATTCATCAACAATTCCTGATGCCTTCCTCTCTCGATAATCTCACCCTTCTCCACCACCAAAATCTGATCCGCATCTGCAATCGTGCTCAGGCGATGCGCGATTACGAAGGTGGTCCGGCCCTGGCTCAATTTACGGAAAGCTTGTTGGATAAGTGCTTCGATCGAAGAGTCGATTGCTGATGTAGCTTCATCCAGCATGACAATCTTAGGGTTCTTGAGTAGTACGCGAGCGATGGCTATGCGCTGAAGTTGACCCCCAGAAAGACGCACACCGCGTTCGCCCACTTTGGAGTTATAGCCGTCAGGGAAACCGACGATGTCGTCGTGAATGGCGGCCGCACGGCATGCATCCTCAATTTCGGTATCTGAAGCGTCGAGTTTGGCATAGCGAATATTTTGGCGGATGGTCTGGTTAAAGAGGACGGGGTCTTGTGGGACGAGGCCTATGGCATCGCGAAGACTGGCTTGCGTGACTGAACGTAGATCTTGGCCGTCGATCATGATGGAGCCTCCAGTGACGTCGTAAAATCGGAAGAGTAGTTTCAGCATCGTTGATTTGCCTCCTCCTGTCTCGCCTACAAAAGCGATGGTCTGTCCGCCCTCGGCTTTCAGGTTAACGCCCTTGATGATGGGTTTCCGCTCGTCATAGTGAAAGTCTACATCCTTGAACTCGACCTCTCCGGCAGAGACTACAATATCTCTAGCACCATCTTGGTCAGCAACTGAAGGTTTAGTATTGAGTAGCTGAAGTAAGCGTTCGGCATCGATGAGTGAACTAGAGATGTGTCGGTAGCTGTAAGAAAGCACATAAAGTGGCGATGTCATCGTATGCCAGTACATGATCAGTATGACCAGATTACCAACTGGCTTCCGTCCAGTCACAATCTGTGACATACCAAAGACGCAAGCACCTGCGAATCCGAAAGTTGTCAAGAGATCCTGTGCTGCATGGCCACCCATCGACCGGAAGTAGTAGGAGTATTGCGCAGAGATGGTAGCGAGAATATTCTCCGCATAGCGCTTGTGTTCGAACACCAAACGGTTGAAGTAAGCAACTGTCTGCCAGTTGTGGACCGTCTCGTTGACTGTTGAGCTTTCGGTACGCTGCTTCTCGACATAGTCTCTTCGCTTGGGTTGTGACAGAGTCGTGAAGTAGAACCCGATAGCAATATATGCTGCGCCCATGAAGAGAATAATGAAAGCCATGTATGCATCGAAAAGGTGAGTGACGTAGTACATGGCCACGACAAGATCAAGCAGAATCGGTGCAATGTCGAATAGAACCATCTCGATGAGCGAATTCAAGGATGAGGCTTGTTCGACAGCTTTCAGAACTTCGCCTGAGTCTTTCGAGGTGTGAAAGTCCATAGAGAGGCCCAGCACGTGTTCGTATGCTAACAATGTGATACGACGATATGCGCTGTTGGAGATGACCAAGTTCGCAATGCCGTCGACAATACCCAAACCAGCATAGCTGTTGATGTATGAGAACAACACCCACAAGCCGATATCTTTCCAGGGCATGATGCCACTCTGAGTTTCGTAAGAGTGCTGTAATTTGTCCGTAATAATGCCAAGCTGCCGAGGCGTAAGCAAGTTGAGGACGCGCTCTTGCAGCATATGAACGAGTCGCAGACCCAGGCAAGCCATGACCTTCCAGTCGTCTTTAGGGAACAAGTAGGGCAAGAAAACAGCAAAGCCTTTGAGGTACCCGAACCAACCACCTTCTTCCTCGAGACGCTTCGCTTGTTGGGCTTTGATATCCTTGTCTTCGTCTTTTGGCGTTGCTTCTTCGTCGTCGCTTGCGGATTCTGTAGGGATGGTACCGTACCCAGCATTACCGTTAGCCGTGGCTGATCCGTTCGCTTGCTTCCCTAGTAAAGATTGGCGCTCCTCGTCCGTGCTGATCTCAGCCTGCTTAGTGACCAAAATCACAAACGCATCTAACAGTAGAATGAGAGACGCAATAGCCCTAACGCAGTCAATCACGAATGGTGCATTCTTTTGCCGACTCTGCTCTGGGATGGAAAATGCCGTTATCAGACACGTCGTAGTTTCCAAAGCAAATTGTAGAACAAATGCGCCAAAGTACGCATGCCATCGTAGCGCCTTGCTCGACCAAAGCATATACGCCAATGGACTCCAGACCAATATTGACCCCAAGCAGCGAATTGCTGCAGGTTGTGGTGGCTCATAGTCCCAATCGCCCATTGACCGACTGAAGTAGTAAAGTACCTCTGTGATGTACGCGACCAAGATCGTGAGCATGGAGATAAGTATGCTCCGCCGTCTCTTTTGTGATACCAATCGCGCCTTCTGTAAGATGCATAGACTGAACGCGCAAGCTCCCATGTAGTAGAAACCTACAGTGGGAGCATGCATGTAGTTGAGAAGGGCCATGGCCGGGTAAAGTGGTGTCGCGGGTTGGGGCTGATCCATGGTAGCAGTCGTAAGCATGAGTTCGTATCTTCGTTGATGTTCTTGCTCTCCAAGGGTCTGTTCTGAGGAGATTCGTTATAACCGCGCACAATCGCACGAGTTGTGCAAAGTCGTGAGAAGCGACCTTATCGTCTCACACGGTTGTTGGAGGCCTGTGATTAGGTCGCACACTAATTCTTGAAACGGTAAGGAGTGGCCGCCGAGGATGCCTGATGTTTTGCGAAGTTGGCTGCCGTCGAGGAAGCTGAAATTGCGAAACCCAGCTTCTGAGTTGGTGGTATGGTCTGCAGCCAGCACCGCCACCACAACACTCTTCTCCGCTTAAGAATATCCGGCGGGCTGAACCAGGAGGCTTCGAATACGTCGATACCGTACAGGTGGCAGGGTTCCGTTCGCTTAAGTACTCTGGTACCTGGGGGTTTGAACAAAGGCCTGCGACGCGACAGCCTGGTAAGTTATATGAGACAATGGCGCACTCTTCCGCGCAATCAAATGTCACGCGCCTCTGATGGTTTTGGCGGTCTGTTGATGAGCGCGCGATGTTTGGTCGTCGCGCAAAGCGCATTGTCCAGGTTGAAGAAGCTGCGCGCCCATGTTAGCGTAGTCGGTGTGGCTAGTGCCCGCTGCTGGACTACTGCAAACACCATGCATTCCACTCACCGCTGAGTCCAGCTCGCTTGTCTTTGCGTCATACGGCTGGACTTCGGTGCGGCCGCTGCTGAAGAGGTTGCAAAAGGTTATATATAGAGCTTCCCATTTGCTCAAGACAGAGGCCGGTGAGAAATGCCGCCTACACCAAACTTCTCTAGAGCCGTAAGCAAGCGCCAGAACCCGCTCCAGGCAGAAACCCCAACAGCCATAGCGGCAGAGCGATCGTCAGCGCTCAAGGCGGCAATCGAGGTTTGGGGAAATGGTTCGCGGCTCGTAGCGAGGTTAGAGATGATGGATGATGCGGGTACTCGCAGGTGTCACATTAAAAAGATGCGGATTCCTTCTGCGACAGAATGGGTAAGCGCGGCTGCAGTTCCTCAGGTACCATGCATGCATTGGTAGATCAACGATGCACACGATACGTCGCCTTGTATGCTATTGAGAACATCAACACTTAGCGTTTGGTCTAGCCGACTAATCTCATATGCACACCGCTGCATTAATGTGCCGCCTCGCTGTTAATTAGGACGAGCCCCACGCCGTTGGTCTGTGAGATCGTGTACTCGAATATCCGTCGCCACGTCATGAGTCTAAGACACCGCGTTTGATACATAGATGGGGCTGTCGGTCTCAACACTCAGAAGCTCGAAAAATGCTTCTTCGCCCCACTGAGCATATCTGTATCATCGTCTCCTACGTGCGCTGCATCTTGGCTCCGTTTTGTCAAGCATGTCTTTCCTCTGACCCATGGAAGCATCGCAAAGACACATATTACGCCATGTGGCACCACAACCAACAGATCTAGATCCGCGGAGAGATCGGCCCGCTCGCTCCGCTCGTTCGCATGGCAAAGATGGGGCCGTCGAAGGACCACGACCAACCAACATTGACTTGACCTTAAGCCCTTTCGCAGGCGTATTGCACCCCTGACAATACATCGCAACACCAACACGCCAGCGCTTCTTCGTTCATGTATAACCTTGAGAGCACGAACAGAATTTCTGATTGAGTTGTTCACGTTTTTTGCGAATACCACGAGCCCAAAGGATGCAATATGTTCCTCAATGGCAAAGATGACAAACACACGGAGAGTAGAAAGCATATGACAGCATGAAGCCTCAACATATTCATGATTACTCGTATGCCTCGAACCAAGTTACCGCATCGAGTATACCGAATCTTCCAACTCCCTTCCCGACCGTTTGGTCAATCTACCCTGGTGGACCCTACTCGCCGTCGTGACACCAACGCATGCGGCTCAACCACACGTGAGTATGTGAAGGATATGTAACATGTCCAAACTTATGACTCCAGTACTAGTCGTGACAGATGTGACTGCACCTCTTTCTAACCGGATGCAAAGTCCACCATATGGTCACACGTATAAAGCATTTCCTCTTCACATTTAGTGAACAATGACTGCTCCGTTCGCCCTCTTGTTCGCTTCCACTTCCGGTTCTAGCCCCATCCTGCCTGTGAGTGTTTTGATAACCCTAGAGTCTACTCTCTTCTCTTCACATATCTTATCGGGCAAGTCGCATATAGCTCGTTGGTGGCGGTACCGTTACATACTTTCTTCTCTTTGCGCTTGTCTTCCACATACAGTCCTGTTTCTTCTGGTGTTCAGTATCCTTTGTCAAAGCCTAGGATTGTGGAACATCTTAGTGAATCGGGAGTGAAATTCAGTTACATATGACTGGGTCTCCGACAACTCCCTCAATCCGAGCTCATTATCGTTTGCATTGCCGGATTGATACTCTCCACCACCTTCGGAGCCTGGCATTGAGACCGTCCGCGTCATAACCCAAGTTCTACCCCGCCGTAGTCCGAGCGTAAAGCACATACGTCTATCAGATTGATAGAGTCAATACCTGACTGCTCCGATTCCTCTCCACAGCTCCTCGACAGACATAAGGGTCCAAGCGGCAAGTGACCGAGACTTTCAGCCGACTCTCAAAGCCTTTATCGCGACCAATTCTCCAAGGTAATCCACACCACTTCTTAACTTTCCCTCCAACTTCTTCAGAACACTGCGATCAACATCTGAGCTGGCTCATTCTCCGCAAGAACAAGGAGATTAAACCAAGATGACTGATCAACCAACATCGCCATCTAAGCAAGGCTCACCACGTGGCGCTATGGATCCTCCAGCGACACTGGGTGCAGGTCGAAGCGCCAAGGATTCGACCTCGATACTCATACCTTCACCCGCACCCGCACCCGCTCCCGCTCCTTCGACGCCAGGCCGAAGTGACCGCACACTCCTTCCGAGTACACCACGCGCTTCCAACAGCCCTTTTCCGACCCGTGCGCCCCGCACTCCAGGAGGTTCATCATTGACGCTTTGTACCGTTGACGAGTCAAAGTATAGTAAGGTGACTGTACACACAGCCAAGTGTACCGAATGCGACAAGCGCAACATGGATACCATGCGACGCTGTCCAGGCTGCACATTCCAAGTTTGCCAGCCATGTTACGAAAAACGCTTGAAGCAGGATAAAGGCCTTCTTCATGGCAACATGGCGACTCCAGGTGCGGCTGGAGGAGGTCTCTCCACCAGTGGTGGGAGCAGGGCCATGAGAAAGAAGCCACTGCCGAGCACAGAAGAGATAGGCGACAAGATCGAGAATGAGGAAGGTCCCAGTCATATGAAGATTGAGACTACCCCAGCTATGCCAAAGTCGTCGGCAAAGAAGCGTGCGATCAAGAAGAAGGCGCCTCTGGATGAGACTGAGGAGTCTTCCGAGGACGAATTTGAGCCAGACGACACTTCCCCAACACCCAGCAAGCGCCGCCGTACTGGTCGCCGTCGACCTGAACTCACGTTTGCCGAGAGTGCTCTTGCTACCGCTCTCCGAACACCACCAGCTACACGTGCAACTAGAAAGTCACTCCCAGCTCCTACACACCGAGCTCCATCATCCCCAGCCTCTGACCCTGGTAACGCAGGAACCTCGGTTGGTTATGGGCCAAGCGGATTCTTAAGCAGCGACTTCATGGGTGGCAAGGATCTCTACAATGCTGGCATCAAGCCATACAAGGATCAGCCATTGTTAGCTCGCCGGGAGCCTGTCAATTCCAACCCGGCTAACAGGATTCCTGATATCATCAAGCGGGGTGGGAAGCCAAGGCCGAGTAACCAGACGTACCACAACATCCAGAAAAGCCTCAGAGCGAAACTACAGCAGAATCAAGTACACGAGACAGACCAAGATGAAGCTGTAGCTCACACGGCTGAGCAAAGCGTAAGTCAAGACTTTTTTCTTTCTTTTTTTTCTTTTTTAATAGTCAACGATGATGGAAAAGCTGACAAGATGAAGAAGGCTGAACAGAATGCAGACCCGCAGACTGTTGCAGCCTTTGTGGAGAAGGAGGCAGCTAGGTACCAGAACGAGACCATGGACGAAGATGAGAACGAGGCCATCCTTAGCGCGATGAAGAGTGCGGCGCTGGTGTGGGGCAAACAAACGTACAAGAAGCTAGACTCGGAGACGCAGCTCACAGTGCAACCGGGCCTGAAGCTACGTCTTGACCTCATCAATAAGACGTTCCGGGAAGAGCTGGCGAAGTTGATGGGCGAGCATGCTGACCGTATCCTATCGGAATTGGGCGTCAGTGTCGAGAAGCCTGTGGAGGCTCCACCAGGTCAGCTGTTCAAGCCTGCCTAGGACGAGCGAGGTTGTTGGACCGGTCGGGAGCGATGATATAATTCGTCCCTCTATGGTTTCTCTGCATGGTTAGACTTGTCGGTGATAGATGGGTTTGTTAGGGCTTGTATCACCCTGTACAAAGGGGCAAGTCAGTATTGATTGGATATGGAGAGCTTGTCAGTTGCCTAGGATGGCAAGTCACTGCCGTAGGAGCAAGTACTCAGAATCCATTTGCACCAGCATTAGTATTGATGCAGAACATGATTGGTGTGGCGCGATATTCATGAACAGAGTCCTGCCAAACAAAGGACTAAAAAGGTCCGAGAAGATTTCATAACATGGTTGGCAAGCGAGTGAGCCAGGCAAGCGAGTGAGCCACCCCACCAACTTTGCGCAACCTACGACCTCAAATCACTTATGGCTCTACCTACCCCAACTCAAAACGCCTCTCGTGAGGCT